AAGTATATATATACTTATTGCATTCAATAAAGAAATATTTGAAACATGTTTGAATAAACTTTTTTTAAAATCTATTAATTTCCTTATTTTTTTAATTTTTAATATTTATTACTCGATAAAAATTTAATCCTGCTAGCTGTGGGTTTTGTATATTGTTATCATGGAAACAGATTTTGGATTTGGACTTATTAAGAATGAGCCTTTTAAGAGTGTCTTCATTGAAAACCAATTATTATAAGAAGAGCATCACAGATTGTTCCATCATCAAGATACCTAAAATTTATATCCAAATCAAATTAAGATTTAAGATAATAGATGAGATAATGAATGCCAAGGTAAAATAAACGAAAACCTGTGCCCCCTGCTGGATCCTTTCGTCAGAATCTATGACATGTGGGCTGAATAAAAGAGTTGTAATGTTACAGTATGTCTCTAGGAATTTTGAATAAACAAGAAATTTGGGATAATAACAAATTTATGAAATGTTCACAAAATTTGTTATTGAAAGCATTTTTAAAGTCTACTTTATGATAGCCACGTCAGGAGAAGGATTTTGGATATAATACAAATGGTTTGTGATGCTATTTTGCCTTATTCCTTAACACCAAATCCTAATTGATACGTATGAATCAAGTTAGAACAATAAAGCTTAATAATAGATCTTTAATATGGCATATTAATAAATGTGATCGAAACCTGATTAATACCAAACCCGGAAGTACAAAACTGGAAAGGGCCATAAAAAAGGGCATCTTCTTTCAAATTTTTCTTCAGTAGATATATACCAGACTTCTTTATATTTGTACAAAATCCTAGACTGGACTGAACGTGGGTCTAGGAGTTATGACCCTTTTGGGTAAAATTGATCAAAATTAACAAAAATATCATCTAACTAATGTAAAAATTTTTATTTGAAAATTATATCTAAATAAATGGCCCTTACTTTATTATTTAAAAAAATTATTTGATAGGTGGGTGGGGGGGGGTGATAAAGCGGTTTATTTAATACATTCGTTAAATTTTAAAATTACTTGGTAAAATAATTTTAAATTCTTTATTTTAACATAAATCAATAAAAAGTAAGTGGATCCATGCAGTTAAAAGATAATTTTTTATACAGCATATGCTAATAAGGAATTAGGACCCCTTAGTAATTTGCAAATATTAATTATACTCATAATAGTAAATCATTTTATTTCATCATTTTGAAAGAAAAAAGTTTAAATTTAAAAATAAATATAATAAATAATTAAATTAAAAATATAATAGTTTTAGCCCAATAATTTTTTTTTATTATATAAAACATATTCTGTTTTATAAACTTTTATGTTTTCATGAATAATATATGTTATATTAGTGGCATCGGGCCTAATTTTTCAAGCCCGGCTCGGCCCGAAATTTTTTTGAAAAAGATTGCCCGGCCCGAACCCGAAATTTTTTAAAAAAATTTTGCCTGCCCGGCCTATGTTATTAGGCGTCTACTTTCTAAAATAAAATCACATATTTTTTATTTTACATAAAAAATTTAACATAAAATTGATAAATTTAGATATATTTTAAAAAATTTCTAAGGCCCGACCCGGCCCGAATTTTCTTAAAAAATATTAGGCCCCGGCCCGAAATTCGGATAAAATGATATACACATATTCTGTAGTAAATTAAACCGCTAATTTTGTTATATAATTGTAAAATGAATAGAGAGGTTAATAAATTTAATAAAAAAAAATTAGGATCAAATACTTTTTAAAAAACCCATAAAATTAGATGGTGTCCATAATTGGATATAGATGATTTTATAAAATAGTGACGAGGCGTCCATAGAAGTAAGGGAAGCATTCCTTCTCTAGAAATTTTTCTTACATCTTAAATAAATATAATATAATCTTTATACTATGCTAAAAAAAACTAAACTGACTTCATTAAAAAAAATTAATATATTTTTATTACGTTAAAAAAATATACACGATAGAAGCAAATATTGCTTATTTTTTAAAATAAATATTTAAAAAATCATGTTTCATAACGATATATTTTTGGCGTGTTTTTTTTATTACGTTAAAAAAATATATATAATGGGAACCATATTTAATATTGCTTATTTTTTAATAAATAAAGAGAAAATCATGGTATGGTATTGTGTAATTTTACATTAAAATAAAAGCATTTGGGGAAGCAAATGAAAAATAAGATGTTAGCCTTTTCTCGAAACGTAAAAAAATACTAAAGTATTTTTAGATAGGAAATTTAATTCTGAATACAATTGTATAATAATATTTGAAATTACTTTTTAGATGTTGCCCTTTTCCTTCTGAATGTTTTCGCGACAAAAAAATTATTTTTCAAACCGGAAACGTAAAAAATTACATCTAAGTATTTTTAGATAGGATATTTAATTTTGAGTACAATGATATAATAATATTTGAAATACGTTTTAGATGTTAGCCTTTTCTCTCTGAATGTTTGCATGACAAAATAATATTTTTCGAAACCGAATACGTAAAAAAAAATATATCAAATTTATATAAAAAAACTGAAATAGAATTAAAATATAATTATAAAATTTCCATTTTTTTTAATTGTCATATAAAATCATAACCAAATATAATTTAATTTAACCGCAAATTATATGAAAGAATAAAAAAAAATTGAAAAGAGCTTAAAATTTCCAATTTTTTAATATATTATAATGTAATGTTAATTATGATATTTTTCTCGTAAAGAAAACAATAAATCAATCAAATTTCTCATAATGTTATTTTCTATTTTCAATATTTTATTTTAGCCTTTCGTATCATGCAGACTCGACTTTTAGACCTTGCGCTTATTTTTAATAAATTAAAGAGAAAGAAATTTTCTTATATTATATTTTTTCCTTACTTTTTTTAAATAAAAAATTAGCTCAAGAAATTTTGAAGCGAAAAAATTAATTATTGAAAAAGGAAGACCAAAACCAATTTACAAAACTTAAAAAAAGAAATCAAAACTTTGTATTCTTAATTTTTCTATCTATAAATTTGAAAAATTTGAGTAACTTATTGGATGTGAATTTTCTAATTCTCTAAATTGTTAGTCATGCCTATTTATTCACAAAGGAAAAATATGTTTGGAATGATAAAGCGGTATGAATAATTTTTCAAAGGCAGTTAAACAGCATGAAGAATCAACCTCTATTTGCAGTCGATAATTCAATTAAAAACATTTGGCAAAAATTCTATTGAAAATATGATAGATTCGATGCGCAAAATATCAACTGAACAGTATAATTCGAAAGTCAAATCAAATAGGAAAATATTGATCGACTCTATATGTTTTCTTGGAGTTCAGGAGCTCGCATTCCATGGTGATGATGAATTTTCTAATTCAGTAAATAGAGGAAATTGTATTAAATTAATTTTTTGCCCGCGGAAGAAAATTTACTATTGAAACAATTTAGAAAATAGTACAGTTTTTATTGGACAATCAAGTGATATTCAAAATGATTTAATTAATTTCATTTCATATGTTTTACACCAAAAAATATTAAATGAACTGGAAGAAACAGGATTTATAACAATAATATTAGATAAAACAATTGTTATAAATAATAAATCCCAACTGGCGGTTGTTCCTTGATATGTTTTAAATAACGGAACATTGTATGAAAGATTTATTGAATTCTTGTTGTTGCTATTCATCAAGATGCTAATTCTTTATCAGAATTTTTCATTAAATTCTTGAATGATAAAAAAATTAGGAAAAAATTAATAGGCCAAAGTTACTATGGCGCAGCTGTTATGTCAGGCGATTCACATGGACTACAAGCAAAAATAAGAGATGCCATTTATATTCATTGCTTTGTCCTTAGGTTAAAATTATCAGAATCTTGCAGCATAAATAAAAAATATATGGTTTTTTTCCAACTTTATCTCTTTTAGCCAGTTTTTTTAATGCATCATCTAAGCGAACACCGGAATTTGATAATTATGTCACAAAAAGATACCACGAGTAGCTCCAACGAGATGGGAATACAATGGCCAGCTAATTCAAACATTTTTGAATTTGAAGGATCTAGCCTTTTTTTTGAAAATATGATTAATGGAGAATCTGATATTTTCTAATTTTATAATATTTTTTTCAAGAAATTTTTCCAGAATCTGATGTATTATATGATATACTTCAAACTAAAATTAACTCTATATCTTATTGTATAGTATTAATGATTTCAGAAATTCACTTAAATCAAAATAACTGATGTTTTTTGTAGAAATTTAAATGTAAAAATAGTGAAGACAATTTAGTTATAAAAAAACGAAATAGATCCGGATTGCTCAATACAAAGAATTTTATAAAAATGTGATAATTGAAATAACAGATAATCAATGAAATTGATTTTCGATTCAATACATTAAAAAATATCAAATTCTTCTAATTTTTAAGATATTAGTACCAAATATTTAATCAAAATTTCCCAAAATATTTATTTGACAATAAATGACACTTATTCTTAATTTTTCTACTTACACAAGCTGGAAACCCAATGGAAGGTAGTGTTTCAGGACGATGAATTTAGAAAGAAAAAGAATGTTATGCACATCTTAACTTTGGCTTCAACAACCAAGTGCAGAACGGGGTTTTTCATCTTTAAAAATTATCAAATCTTGTTGCAGAAACAGGATGAGTCAAAATCGATTATTGAATCTATCAATGATTTCAATTGAAAGAAAATATAAAATCTAGCAATAACTTTTATAATTCAGTACTTGATCATTTAACTCAAAAACAAAGACGAATTCCACTTATTTATAAATTTTAATTTTTTTATCGTTTGACTAATAAATAAAAATTAAAATTTTTTTTTGATTGCTTCCCTATTAGTAAACTTGACGCTTCGTCACTGATATAGATATATAAATTACATATATAGCTATTTTAACAATTCTGCAAACCAATTTACTATTTTTATATCGGCGTAACCCTGGTAGATCATTATAGTTAAAAAGTCTATTTTTATTCATTATCAGTTTTTTAAAAGGTGCATTTGTATATGACCGAACATCGTAGTGTGACATTATTTTACAACCAGTGATTTATGAATTTAAATTTTGTATCATATTATTTATTATAATGATAAAAATATTGGGCAGCATAAAATTACAGTTTGTATATAATAGTATTGTAATTAATTTTTTAAATATCTTACACTAAATAAAATACTAGTTATAAATTCATTCTGAATATTGTCACCAATTTAATATCTAAGATTTTAAAAAAAATCATTATTAGATTTATGTAGTAAAATGTCGTGTAACATAGCATTATAAAAATCATATAATAAATATGCAAATCTTATTACGGTTTAAATATTATGGCCAATAATTTTTTATTTTGGTTCCTAAAAGAAGCTATAGTTTATATTTGAACATATCAATTTGCGTTTTTTTTCCCGTAGAAAGAGAAATTCTCTTGGGCATTAGTAAATTTTATTATATTTTTATTTTATTTATTTCGGCTTTATTTTTTAACTTTTTAGAATTTTTTTAAAGCAAATGGGTAAAAATATAAATTGTAAAAATGTTAAATTAAAATTTAAATGAGGATGTACCATAAAAAATGACGTTGTCATAATCGTTATTTTTGAAGCAAATAAGTAAAATATAAATTGCAAACATGTTAAATTCAAATTAAATGAAGTGCATAATAGAAAAGTGACAATTGTCATAATCGTTATTTTTAGACTATTTTAAATTTTTTTGTAGCAAATGGGTAAAATTATAAATTGTAAATATGTTAAAGTAAAATTTAAATAAGGATGTATCAGAGAAAAGTGACAATTATCATGATCGTTATTTTTAAACTTTTTTGAGGGTAAAATTGTAAACGTGTTAAATTAAAATTTATATAGGATGTACCATAGAAAAATGATAATTGTCATAATTTTAAATTTTTGAATATTTTTGTAGTAAATGGGTAAAAATATAAACTGTAATTAGGATGTACCATAGAAAAACGACAAATGTCACAAACGTTATTTTTAAACTTTTTGAATTTATTTTTAGCAAAGGGGCAAAAAAATATATTGTAAACATGTTAAATTAAGATTTTAGTGAAGATGAATCATAGAAAATGACAATAATCAAATTCATTATTTTTTAACATTTTGAAGCAAATGGGTAAAAATATAAATTATGAGCATGTTAAATTAAAATTCCAGTGAAGATGAAGCATTAAAAAGTGACAATTGTCATATTTATTATTTTAAGGAAAATTGATAAAAATATAAATTGTAAGCATGTTAAATTAAAATTTCAGTAAAGATGAACCAAAGCATAGTGACAATTTTCATATTCGCTATTTTTTCACTTATTATGATAGTAGATGTTATATAAATATTATTAAAAACTACCACTCTAGACCAGGGTTGCCAGCCCCCCCCCCATAAATGTAGGACTCCCGCAATTTTTTAGTTTACACGCAGACATCTAACTACCGCAATTTTCAAATTTCCCTGCACAATTTTTTTTTAGCATTTAACTTTTTTAATATATAAATAATAAATTTGAGAAACAGTAGTTGATTATTTTAATATTTTTAAAATAAATTTTAAATATTCAAAAAAACATGTCTATCCTTACCTTAATTATATGTTTTATTTTTATCCAATAATAAATCAATATCATTCCTTCATATTTTATCATTTTAATGTGTGTTTGTTTATATCATTATAATCGTATCACATTTAAATACATAAGGTAACATTGTACTTATTTCAATGATAATGATTTTATTCATTATAATTCAATCACATTATTATTATAATCAGTGCAGGGGTATCTACATCTATTGCAATACAAAAATGAGCAAGGCTATCACCAATGCTTTAGGACCTGAAAGGAGGTCAATTCGTGACGATTTGAAAGATGAACATTTAATGCAATTCAAACAGGTGCATCTAATAAGGGAAATATTAAAACATTTCCCTTGATTCTCCGCTATTTTAACAAAATAAAGACGTTTCAATAAAACTATTAAATTTTTTTTCCTCAGATAGTAAAAAATCCAAAGACATAGCTAACCATATAATGATAAATAGAGCAGATTCGGGATTATCAATGAGTTGCATGTCTGTTTTCTGTGCTGATAATGTCTCAGTAAATTTTGGCAAAACTGAGTGTATTTACAAAATTGAGGCAGCACAATGTTGACAATACCAATTGGCTGCATATGCCATATACTAATTCTTGCAAGAAGCCGTGGATGTCGAAAAATTGAATAAAATGTTTTAACGAATTAGTTCAAAAGAGTTGATCGAGTGGTCTGGCTTGGAATGGTGTGAGTTGGTGTGACATATCCCTATCAGGTTGTGACCATAAATACCCGCCATCGATAGAATTTTAAAATTTTACGAACCTTTAAAAAAATATTTTTCAAATAAAGATTATAAAAGCTGTCCTAATATTTTTTAAAAAAATTTTGAGAATTAAATGGCGGAGGCATATTTAAGAATGATTTCACATGTAGGAAATCTACTACATGTTATTAATATGTAGTTGCAATCCAAAGAATCTTTTTTAATAAAGATCCAGAAAATTATGCTGCAGCTGTGTTCCTTTAGTGTAAAATTGACAATAAATTTTATGGCGCTATTGCTGAAAATATCATAAAAATGTTCTAATATTACTAATTAAGCAAATATTTTTATTAAGACAATTTTAGAATGTTTGCAATCAAAATTAATTTTATTAACTAGATCTACAAATGTATAGATATTATGGTTCCATGTCAATTCAGCGAAACTTTTATCGCGTAACACTTTTTCGCGAAACTTCTATCGCGAATGTTGTTTATCGCGAATGAATTTTATAGCAAAACTTTTATCGCGAATCCACATTAGCGAATACTTTTTTGCGAAGACAATATCGCGAATTTTTTATAGCGAAATCCTTATCGCGAAACCTTTAAAGCGAATATATTAGAGCGAAATTTTTATCGCGAATCAATAATCGCGAAAATTTTATAGCGGAGTCATTATCGCGAAGACAATATAGCGAAATATATCGCGGACTAGTATTAATTATTATTTATTTATATTTAATGTTAATATTAATATTATTTATCAACAAATAAACATCTGATATGATTTAAAATTTTTTATTTATATGAAAATGATTATTATATTATGAAAATGAATTTCTTTTAGTTGATATTTTTTTAATTAAAAAAAATGATATGCTACTATTGTAATATTATTTTGTTACAATTTATTACTGATTTTCACGCCCAAAATTTTAAGCAAAATTTTTTTTTTGAATATTTTCATTTGATAAAAATTTTAAATCTTTATTGTAAATATATCTTTTTTGAGGAATTCTTTTGTTGAATTTTATTATAAATAAATAATATTTTAGGTAGAATCTTTTATAGTTTTTTTTATATCATTTTTGTAAAATTATCTATTTTTAACTATATTAAGAGAGGTGGGTTTTCTAAATAATTTTTTAAAAAAATATTTATATTAGACTTATTTATGTTATTTTATATGGTTGTTTTAAGGAAAGTAATTTAATGTGACAATTGTCATATATTCGTTATTGAAGATGTTCATTGGAAAAATTACAATTATCATAATCGGTATTTTTAAACATATTAGATTTTTTTGACGTAAATAGGCTAAAATATAAGTAATGTTAATATGTATAAATAAAACTTCAGTGGAGATGTACCCTAGATAAGTGACAATTGTCATAATCCTTATTTTTAAAGTTTGAATTTTTTTGACGCAAATGTTTAAAAATATAATTGTAAACATATTAAATTAAAATTTCATGAAGATATACCATAGAAAGTTACAATTGTCATAATCGTTAATTTTAAAGTTTTTTGAATTTTTTTGAATATGGGTTAAAATAAGTATTACTATTAAATAAAAATTCAGTGAAGATGTATCCTAAATAAGTGATAATTGTCATAATCATTATTTTTAAACTTTTTTGGATTTTTTTTGACGTAAATGGGCAAAAATATGAATTGCTAACTTGTTAAAATAAAATTTCAGTGAAGATGTTGTACCATAAATAAGTGACAATTGTCATAATTGTTGTTTTTAAAGTTTTTTGAAATTTTTTGATGTAAATGGGTAAAAATATATTGTAAACATGTTAAATTAAAATTTCATGAAGATAAACAATAGATAAGTGACAATTGTCATAATCGTTGTTTCTAAGTTTTTTGAAATTTCTTGATGCAAATGGGTAAAATATAGATTGTAATCATTAAATTAAAATTTCATGAAGATGTATGATAGAAAAGTGATAATTGTCATAATCGTTATTTGTTTAATAATTTTTTTTGATTCAAATGGGCTAAAATATAAATTGCTAATATGTTAAAATAAGATTTCAGTGAAGATGTACCCTAGATATGTGACAATTGTCATAATCGTTATTTTTAAAGTTTTTTTAATTTTTTTGATGCAAATGGGCAAAAATATAAATGATACATGTTAAAATAAAATTTCAGGGAAGATTTACCATAGATAAGTTTTAAAGTTTTTGTAAATTTTTTGATGTATATGTGTAAAACTATAGATTGCATGAATATGTACCATAAGTGACAATTGTCACAATCGTTATCTTTAAAGTTTTCCAATAATTTTTTTAGAAATCATTGAAAAAAGTTATATTGTTTAAATTTTATTAAAATAATTCAGAAAAGTGCCAATTATAACAATCTTTGATCTTTAGCTTCTTATATTATTTTGAGAAATGTCTTAGTACCATTTATCGAAACAAAAAAAAATGGAAATTTTCATGCACATAATCGTTGTCCCTTTTATCCTGTTTAAAATTTGATAAAAATATACAAAGTGATTATTAAAGATAGTTGTAACTCATGTCGAATTCTAAACTTTTAAGATATAGATTCACAATTTAATAAACTTTAATTTGACATCTATTAAAATATATACCCTGGATTATTTTTAAAATATATTTTAAATATTTATACTAAAAACATGTAGTCAGTACAGGGGAGTATATCAACATCGATTGCAAACAAAAATATTCTCAAAAATAATAAATAATACAGATGCAAGTACATTTGCGGAAATCGTATATACTATCATGTATTTCAACATTCACAGAGCTATA